CAGTCAATCATATCTATATGTCGTTCTATGCAAGCAGATTGCACTTTTTCTCGCGTTTAGAGAAAGGACGTATACGGTATAATAGTGTATTTTTCTAAAAATGAGTGCAACTTTTTGTGCGCAATAAATATAGTTTTTTTTTTCTTAGGGTGGCGCTGTAGCTCTCTGGTCATCCCAATTTTTTCAGACCAGTGAGCTACAGATCTGCAGCTTATAAATGCATAAGACTAGCTGCAGATCTGTAGCTCGCTGGTCAGAAAAAATTGGGATGGATGACCAGAGAGCTACAGTGTCAGGCGAAAAACAAGAAATATTTAAGGCATTTCAGACCTGTTTGCGTTTGAATTTAGTAACACATGGACAATTAGTCTTGGTGATTTCTTTTAAAATAAATCACAATGTATTTTGATCATGAACAACCGTCTTCTGTCGATGTATCAGGCTGAGGAACTTAAGGACCTTATACACACGGTTAAAGTTTGGGAACTTACACAAGATAAGGGTATTTATAGAAACTGATGACCTTATATACATAGTAAAAGTTTGGGGGCTTACACAAGATAAAGGATATTTATAGAAACTGAGGACCTTATACACAAGGTAAAAGTTTGGGGACTTACACAAGATAAGGTATATATAGAAACTGAGGACCTCTTACACATGGTAAAAGTTTGGGGACTTACACAAGATAAGGGTATTTATAGAAACTGAGGACCTTATACACACAGTAAAAGTTTGGGGACTTACACAAGATAAGGGTATTTATAGAAACTGAGGACCTTATACACATGGTAAAAGTTTGGGGACTTACACAAGATAAAGGGTATTTAAAGAAACTGAGGACCTTATACACATGGAAAAAGTTTGGGGACTTACACAAGATAAGGGTATTTATAGAAACTGAGGACCTTTTACACACAGTAAAAGTTTGGGAACTTACACAACATAAAGGGTATTTAAAAAACTGAGGACCTTATATACATGGTAAAAGTTTTGGGACTTACACAAGATAAGGGTATTTATAGAAACTGAGGACCTTAAACACATGGTAAAAGTTTGGGGACTTACACAAGATAAGGGTATTTATTAGGGATGTCAAATCGGTCAATTTTTGATAATCGGTTACTCGGACGTTTTTCCGATCGAGTACCCGGGTACTCGGTACATGTAAAAATGTAAACACGTGTGTTAATTTTCTCGAGCCACGTTAAGCTCTGTCAAACCTCAAAGGCTGTTTTTTTTTTCACGTTTATAAATGTAAACATATAAACATCGAGTCCAATGGGATTATTTTTTTTTTTGGTACTAAATTTATTTATCAAATAAACACAAAAGCCACAATACATCAAAAATTACAAAATGGTTTACAGTTCTTGTTTAGGATCTATTTCATCAACGCAAGAGGAGAACAATCTTTTACGCAGGTTTGTGATGAATAGACTAGCCAAAGGGACGGGACGGACGTTGTTGGAATCGCTAGTATAAGCTGGTTGTTTCCCTCGTATAAACTTACTTCACAAACTGACTTTCAACATTTTTTTGAATCCTCAATTATTTCTAAACATTTCTTCGCTTTTGAAGTGGGTAGCGGCATTTCTATGCATGTCAGATTTCGCTGCCAAATATTAACTAAATAATTTAAAAATGATTTGAAGATAATAGACCATACTTAATCGATGTTCACTGAAAGCAGTCATTGAACCCATCCAAAAATTAAAGACCATAATAGGTCACTAATTACTGTATATACACAGCCACAGGCGATAAAGGGTGAATTACAGGTGCACATGACGACACGCTAATAACCGTATGCAGTTTTAAGAAGTTTTTTTTTGATAATTTTTTTTTACAAAAATATGTACTTTGAAATAAGAAAAAATACACTTCCGAGTAACCGAATACCATTTTTAGTATTCGATACTCGGACGTTGGATCGAGTCCCCGGTTAACCGGGTACTCGTTGACATCACTAGTATTTATAGAAACTGAGGACCTTATACACATGATAAAAGTTTGGGGACTTACACAAGATAAAGGCTATTTAAAGAAACTGAAGACCTTATACACATGTTAAAAGTCTGAGAACTTACACAAGATAAGGGTACTAAAAGAAATTGAGGACCTTATACACACAGTAAAAGTTTGAGGACTTACACAAGATAAAGGGTATTTAAAGAAACTGAGGACCTTACACACACAGTAAAAGTTTGGGGACTTACACAAAATAAAGGGTATTTAAAGAAAGTGAGGACCTTATACACATGGTAAAAGTTTGGGGACTTACACAAGATAAGGGTATTTATAGAAACTGAGGACCTTATACACATGGTAAAAAGTTGGAGACTTACACAAGATAATGGTATGTATAGAAACTGAGAACCTTATACACATGGTAAAAGTTTTGGGACTTACACAAGATAAGGGTATGAATAGAAACTGAGGACCTTATACATAAGGTAAAAGTTTTGGGACTTACAAAAGATAAGGGTATTTATAGAAACTGAGGACTTACACAAGATAATGGTATTTATAGAAATTGAGGACCTTATACACATGATAAAAGTTAAGGGACTTAAATAACATAAGGGTATTTACAGAAACTGGGTACTTACACAAGATACAGGTATTTATACAAACTGAGTACTTTATATACATAGTTAAAGTTATGCATAATAAATATATAGAAACTGATCACCTTATACACATAATAAAAGTTTGGGAACTTACACATAATGAAAGTATAGAAACTAAGGACCTTACACACATTGTAAAAGTTTAGGGACTTATGCAAGACAAGGGTATTTACAGAAACTGAGGACTTTATACACATGCAAAGTTTTGGGATTTACACAAGATAAGGGTATTTATAGACACTGAGGACCTTATACACATGGTAAAAGTTTAGGGACTTACACAAAATAAGGGTATTTATAGAAACTGAGGACCTTATACACATGGTAAAAAATTGGGGACTTACACAAGATAAGGGTATTTAAAGAAACTGATGACCTGATACACATGGTAAAAGTTTGGGGGCTTACACAAGACAACGGTATTTATAGAAACTGAGGACCTTATACACAATAGTAAAAGTTTGGGAACTTACACAAGGGTATTAATAGAAACTGAGGAACTGATACAAATGGTGAAAGTTTGGGGACTTACACAAGATAAGGGTATGTATAGAAACTGAGGACCTTATACACATGGTAAAAGCTTGGGGGCTTACACAAGACAAGGGTATTTATAGAAACTGAGGACTTTATACACATGCAAAGTTCTGGGACTTACACAAGATAGGAGTATTTATAGACACTGAGGACCTTATACACATGATAAAAGTTAAGGGACTTACACAAGATAAGGGTATTTATAGAAACTGAGGACTTTATACACATGGTAAAAGTTTGGGGACTTACACATAATGAAAGTATAGAAACTGAGGACCTTATACACATGGTAAAAGTTTGGGGACTTACACAAGATAAGGGTATGTATAGAAACTGAGGACCTTATACACATGATAAAAGTTTGGGGGCTTACACAAGATAAGGGTATTTATAGAAACCGAGGACCTTATACACAATCGTAAAACTTTGGGGACTTACGCAAGATAAGGGTATTAATAGAAACTGAGGAACTGATACACATGGTAAAAGTTTGGGGGCTTACACAAGATAAGGGTATGTATAGAAACTGAGGACCTTATACACATGGTAAAAGTTTGGGGGCTTACACAAGATAAGGGTATTTATAGAAACCGAGGACCTTATACACAATGGTAAAACTCTGGGGACTTACACAAGATAATGGTATTTTTAGAAACTAAGGACCTGATACATATGGTAACTTAGGGTTTTTATGGCCCTTTGAATTGTGAGAAATCAAAACTACTCAGTTTTGGTATCATGTGCATTAAATTATCTTTTGGACCTTTGGTGACTGTATCTATTAAAAATGATGTAAAGAGCTGGGTTCACTTTATCCATAAAATGGCCCTTCATACATACCAATTAACTGACAAAGTCCCAGGGTCCTATTTCAAACATCAATATAAAGGAAAGATTTTCCCCATATCCTGAAAATTCCTTCAACAACGGACAAAAGTTTTAGCATTTTTCAAAACTATTTCATATAGAGTGCAATCTCTAATTCATGCAGAGGATATTAAATAATTAAGGATCTGTTTCTGGAAAACATGTTTTTATATTTTGGGTTGAGGAGTAAGCTTGTATTTAGTTTTCTTTCAAATAAGCCTGTTTTCTGCAAAAGTTCAAGAACTTTGCAATTTTACAAAGCTTGTTTAATTTCCAATCTCTGGACTCTTTAAGAAACTTTGTTAAAGGAATGAAAGGCACTCTCAGCTTTATTTGGATGTTAGAAATGGGACAGAGGGTGATGGACAATTAACTGATATAAGGACAGGGGTATCTTATGCATAAAGTGAACCCAACTCTTTATATTCAATTCAACTCACTTAAAAGTACATTTCACTGTAGATTTCATAAACAATACCATAGTGGATAAATAAAAAAAGAATTTCTGCATATAACTTTATTTGGAGACTTGATCAAACTTAAGTGGGACATGCACATTTTTTTCACTTTCAGAAAGGTCATGCGATACTTGAAAACATGTTCATGAAAAAAAAAGGAAAAAATTTCCTTCTGCATAGAATATTTAATACATGTACTTCAAAATCATTTGCTACACACATCATGCAGTTTCTTCTGCACTCTTCAGTCATGCAAGTATCATGGTACATGCAGGTTTCATAATGATAAAACTGCTGCAAACAATTTAACCCTCAATACTGCTAATTGTGGCTCCAAAACACAGTGTTTATCATTTTTCTCAAAAATATATCAATTGAAATTAGTGTGTAAATCAAGATTTTCTCTGGTTTTTTTTAAAAACTAGATTATATACTTGGTCTTTAACACTTATCTAAGTTCTTATTACATTTTTGTAATCTTTTCTGAAATGTTTTTTGATTAAAATCATTTCACATGATGTCCATGGGATTTTTTGTATCTTCCGTCACTTGCATGCAGAATCTTCCATTTCTGTTGTGGATCTGTGATCAGAAAGTGGCTTCCTTTTCCCTAAAATCAAATTTTCAGAATATAATTTTTCTTCTGTTTATACTTTTGTCTGTATAAAAATAAAGCAAATAGCTCTGAAAGTGGCTTATCATGACTGGCTAAGTATTTTGTGAAAAGTGAAGAACTTTTCGGCATCTGAAATACAATTTGGTAGGAGAATGATTGTTCACTAATATATATGTATTAAATAGGTACATTCATTATTTGAATGATCTGTGAACTTGCGTGCTTGGCTACTTAAATTTACATTCATTTTTAGATCAATATTTTGTTCTATTTGGAATTTAATCTCACTCTTCCATCTCCATTCAGAAGACATCTGTGTGAAATGCGATGACTCTCAGATTGGTAAAGTTCCACCAACGCAAATAACTTATTTCAGAATATACCTTGCTCTACCCTTGAATATATAACCACTCTTTTTGTCACTTATACTGAAGCTCTTCTGTTCATACTCAATATCCAGTATTGAGAACTAGACATTTTTCATGCAAGTAGACCACGCAACACTGTTAAGGCATACTGTGAAGAAATCAATGGAAAATAGGCATGTACAAATAGATAACTTTTTAATGCTGATTTATTTTTGTAAAGCTATTATATTCCCAAATGACTTAAAAATTAATAAAAATAATATTGTAGGCCTATACCCCACTCTATATTGAATCTAGTTTGGTAACCTTATTTGGAAGTCACGTGATAATTGCATATAATGTGTACTACATGTAGGTCATACACAAATTTCAATATCGCAAGGGCATATCCTAGTTCCATTAAAAAATCTAAGTTATAAATTATTTCTATATACCTTGTACTTTCTGAAAAGTTCTGCGGAATATAATAGCTTTTCAATATCTGCAAGCGTTTAGAAGTAAATTGCAGAAAACCCTTAGAAATTGAAGAGGTCGTAATTCCGTCAAAAATAAATGAAGCAGAACGAAATGCAAACTTGATCTGTAACTCATCAAGATACACTCACATACCAAAAATCAGCTCAATATCTGCAAGCGTTTAGGGAAAAAGTGCGGAAAACCAAGTGGGACAGACTGACAGACAGACAGAGGGACAGACAGACAGACGGACAGACAGACTCAGAGGAAACCTATAGTCCCCTCCGGTTTCACTGGTAGGGGACTAAAAACACAAACATTTCAACCAGAACAAGCATTCTGAGAGTTTTACCATTGCAATGCTAGTCCCCTACCAGCAAGTGTAATCTGGTTCCCATTTAAAATTGAAAATGCCATTATTCCATCAAAAAATCATAATGCAAACTTAATCTATAATTCATCAAGTTAGACTCACATACCAAAAAACATCTCAATATCTGCAAGCGTTTAGAAAAAAAGTGTGGTAAACCAAGTGGGACAGACTGATATACATACATATGGACAGACAGAGAGATGTACAGAGAGACGCACAGACACGGTGAAACCTATTGTCACCTCTGGTTTCACAGGTGGGGGACTAATAATAATTCTAATAGTTTTTGCAAAGATTAAAAAATGCTGTGGACATAATTCTACATTAAATCACAGTTATCAAAAGCATAAAAGGTATACAATTCATATTAAAATTTGAACTGGTGGAATAAATACTTGTACAGTTAGTCAGAAAAACAAGCCTATATCAAAGTGCCTGGGACAGACAATTTTGCTTTGTTAAAAACTTAAGGTAAATCATTATTCATGTATACATTGAGTTGTAATATGTTTAAAAAAAACAGAGAATAAAAATTACTTTGCTATTAGCTTGAATTCATTATCAGCTAAAGCCTGTTTTACTGTATATGTCTTAAGAAAATAATGATACCATATCACTTCTTCTGCCAGTCTAAACACTGTGTACTACCTTCTTTGGTTCATCATGACCTCATGTAAACAGAATATTTTAACAGAACCCCCCAGCATAACTTGTAAATAAAAATGTCATCTTAAAAAATTACCAACAGTGTGTATTTGTTAAAGCTACAATTTATGTGAAACGAGATGTGTTTGTGAAACACTGATGCCCCCATAGGGCGACGGTTGAAGTTTCTCAAATACATGTCAAACTCTAAGGTCAAGGTGAAAAGGTCAAACTGTTGGTATCCAAAGGAAGGTGTTGTCACAAGGAATACACCTGTGAAATATGAAAGCCCTTGTGCTAACCGTTGAAAATTATAGCCAAGGTTAAAGTTTTCAAAAAGTGGGTCAAACTCTAAGGTCAAGGTCAAAAGGTCAAAAATATTTATGCCCATTAAAAGGTCTTACCACAATGAATATACAAGTGAAGGATGAAAGCCCTAGCACAACCGTTCAAATGTTATTGCAAAGGTTAAAATTTGGTAATTTTTTGTGTAAGTGGGTCAAATTCCAAGGTCAAGAGGTCAAATTAAGTGATACCCAAAGAAAGGTATTGTCACAAGTGACCTGTGAAATATGAATGCCATAGTTCCATCTACTAAAAAAGTTATGGGCAAGGTTAAAGTTTTGCAGACAAACAAGATCGATAAGCAGGGCAAAAACTATATACCCCTAATACTGACTAAGGGGTTAATTCTTAAAAAGAAGATTCTATGACAGAAGCAATACCTGATGCCACTTTATTTCTAACCAACATTTTTCACTCCTGGAACCTTAAGCAGAGCAGATGCTTGACTGGGACCTACATGTAGGATATCAGTGTTATAGGCACCTGGGAAACCAGCATGGTAACACTTTCATCAATGAGACTTTCAGGCTTCTCAAGAGATGTGATCGTGAACCAACCAAATTCATTTCCTAGTGAATTTTTAACACTAGCTGTTATTTATTTCTTAAATTCCTAAAAAAAATTTTACCTGTAACACACTAATGATGAGGCTTTCTGACATTCTCCTAGCCATGGAACCTGGTACATTTCCATCATTAGATCTTGCATTAACTAATTCTCTAGCATTATTTGCTGAATCTGTTGATAAACAAACAATATTTACTGTTAACTTTTAACTTAAAAAATATGACACATAATAGCTGAATCTTGATGATTTCTACACAACCATTCTTAATGTAAATATTGAACAAACAAGAGGCCCATGGGCCATAATGCTCACCTGATTAACTATGGCCCTTCTGTTCTCCGTCAGCAGATTCTTTCTTCTATTAATTCTTGTGTAAAACTGATCACATATTATAGCCCCAACCTACCATAGGGGGTCATGATTTGAATACATGTAACCTTCAATCTACTCTACCTGAGAATGCTTCCATATAAATATGACTTCATATAAATTTTCCTCTTCTTAAGAAGAAGATTTTTAAAGACATTTTCCATATGTATTCCATTATAAAACTTTTACTGCCTATTGTGGTTCCACCTTAACCACCCCCCTCTCACCAGGCATGATTTTAGCAAATTTGTGTCTACAATACCTTTAAAGTTTCTAAAAAAATATGAGATTATGGCTTTGTTGTTCTTGAGAAGAAGATTTTTAAAAAATATTTTCTATATATTCCAATGCATTACCCTGATCCCCTGTTGTGGCCCCATGCTAGTCCCGGAGGTTATGATTTAAACAAATTTGAATCTTCACTACCTGAGGATGCCTCTGTATAAAAAATGACTAATAATGGCTTTGCTGTTTTTAGGAGGAAGATTTTTGAGGATAATTCCTACATATTTCTATGTAATTCTCTGATCCCTTCTTATGATCCCATCCTACCCCTGGGAGTCATGATTTGAACAAACTTTAATAGAAGCTTTCACATAAATTTCATCGTTTCTGGTCAAGTGGTTATTGAGCAGAAAATTTTTAAAATTCAAATTTTCATGAGTTCCTTATTATCTCCCCTTGAAAGGGGGCATGGCACTTCCTCTAAACAATCTTAAATTCCTTTCACCCAAGAATGCTTTGAGGTAAGTTTGGTTGAAATTGGCCCAGTGGTTCTGAAGAAGAAGTTGAAAATGTAAAAATTAAGTTTACAGACAACATGACAGAAAGCTGCTGATCTGTAACTTGCTGGTTTGAAAAAATTGGGATAGACGACCAGAGAGCTACAGTGCCACCCATAGAAAAAAAGTGTATATTTATTGCACACAAAAAGTTGCGCTCGGTTCTGAATTAATTTCTCTAAATTTTTACCTCAACTGCACAAAACCTGGATTTCAAAATTTTCCTTAGACCTCTATCAACTACTCTTGTAGTTGACATCTGCAAGAAGCGCGTTGGACCGAATTACCTTGCCACCCAAGATGGCAGAATAAATAGACAAAATTTTCGATGGTTTCAATTTCAGGCCCAGGAGGGCTATTGATATGATTAACAATGGTTGTAAAGAATGTTTTGTTGTGGAAAAAGTGCAAAAATATGTTAGAGACACATGGTTAATAGTATTTTTAGATTGCAGTTGATAACAGAGAAATAAATCGAGATTCTGCTTACTTTTTTTTGGCGCAGTAAATATACACATTTTTTTAATGGGTGGCACTGTAGCTCTCCAGTCTGACAATATATTTTTTTTTTCGGAGAGCTACAGTTCTGCAGCAACATGACAGACAGATGGACAGAAGGTTGTTGGACAGCTAGATAGGCAGACATCGGACACTTTTTGATCAGAAAAGCTCACTTGAGTCTTCTGCTTGAGTGAGATAAAATCTCTTTTGGAAGATTGAATTATTTTATTATTACCTGGAAGGCTGTAAACAAATTTCCTTGCATCTTTTTTACTCATCATGGTTTGACAGCTTTGTAACTGTATTAAAAGAGAATTCTCTAATTAAAAGCTGTTCTTTATTTCTTCAAGGGATCTCTGTATACCTAAATTGGAAAAGAAAAACTTCATAAAAGTCATAATTAAGCTTTGGCAATCAAGTATGAAAATAAGAGGATGAAAATGATATTTTTACCCCTGAAGGTTTTACTACAACTTCTGCAGGTACACTATGCACTTGAATTCTTATGTTGCATCGTTAACCACAGAATTGTATAATATAGAGTATATCAATTGACATGTCTAATCTCTACAGTTCAGATGGGGAAATACAGAAATCTTTTTAAAGTGTAGGCTATTAAAATTAGCATAAATTACTTTCATTTTTTAATTTCTTTTCGTTTCTTTGAAAACAATATGCTTTAGAAGCTTATAACTACTACACCAAAAGACCGTTCACGGTAGCTCAGTTGGTAGAGCGCTCACTCTGTGATCAGGAGGTTGTGAGTTCGAATCTCAGCCGCGACTGACCTAAGTCGATAAAAAATGGGTAGCAACTGTTTCTTCGCCATGCGCTCGGCACTTTGAAGTGAAAGTTGCGGGTTCTTCGGATGAGACCTTAAAAACCGAGGCCCCGTGTCACGGCAGGCATTGGCACGATAAAGATCCCTCACTGTTCAATGGCCCCGAGTGCCGAGTAAAGGTCAAAATTTGAAGCCCTTCACCGGTATATGGTGACATCTCTATATGAGTGAAAAATTCTCGAACGGAACGTAGAACAACATACATACATAGTACACCAAAAAAAGCAATACAGGACATTAAATGTTGAATGATACAACAAATTCGGTTTGAAATATTTCATTACCTTAAAAATAAGCAAATATTTATGGTTGAGTTTAAATGTAGCACCTAATAATCCAGCTTTGATAATGCATGTAACTGTACTGTCTCCATGTTCAGGGGGGATTCCATGCATCTTCTGTTTGCCTCAAACATTCTAACAAAAAAATTTCATAAATTTAATTCTGAATTTATTTATTCATAGATTTGCTAACATTTTTGACCAATCAAAGTGCATGTTTTTAAAACGTGTTGTTTTAAATGTTAACATGCTAGATGCAGAGACACTAAGCTAATTTCTTAGTAAATGGTTGAGTATCTGTTGTTTAATTTTTTTTTTCCACTTTTAAACATTTGTTAAGCTGATCAATTACAATTATAATGTGTTAAGTTACACTATGCATTATATCATGAGTGTTTATATTTGCTGGAGACAAGAACTAAAGTGTCAAAAATGTAGTAAATTCCAGATCTTTTGATAAAACGGCTCTTGACTTTTGAATAGCTTTCGGTCTCATTCAACTAATACCTGACCAGGTCTGTATAGTAATGAGTAGACCTCATCAAAAGTCAATAATTGTACATGAATTCAATAATATTCATCTGGAAGATAACATGCAGGTGAATACTGTAAATGTATTCTATTTAGCGTGTACATGTACGATATTTGAGGGAAATTAACTTTTGAGCAAGTTAGCTTAGATTTGATTTAGCACATTTCTTAATGTTTTAATCATGAATAATTATGTGCGGCAAGACATTTAGCATTGTACTTGAATTAACAGAAGATTCTTTCAGCCAAAGGCACTAAAAAAAATACACATCCAAATGTAATACGTCTACAGTGTAACATTTTTTGATTTCTAAAATGTTGGCCATCAGACAATCAAAAACCTGAGAATTATTCAATCACAAAATGTTAATCGTGCGACCGTTAGGGCAAGCGCAGATACCTTTTCAGTGTACTGTTTATCATTGTATTTAGGCCTGTCTCTATAAACCGCACGTGACATTTGGTGCGTCTAGACTCTGACGGCACATGATGTGGTATGTAAGTTTCGTTACCATTAAACTGAAGAAAGAACAGTGCTTATTTTAATGAAGAATGTTTTATTGACTATTTATCTGCAATATATCCAATAAATAAAGGCGAGTTTATTATTTGTTGAACTTTTATTGTTATTCTTGTGAGAAGGTAATTTAACAAGCAATGCATTGTGGGTCCAGAAGTTACTGTGGAAAAAAAATTTGTTTGGATCAATGTGCAATGTCCAAATTTTCTCTTCACCCATGCGTTGTATTAAGAGCTCCCAGTGATGAGTGGGGCTTTGCGCCACTCCCTGTACTCGCAATGATTATTGTTATCATAACTGTTTACTTACAATTTACATCGAAAAGGGTCTCAGTTTGTAGGATTTAAAGGGAACAAACAAAAATATTCTTTAACAAATCCTCAATGATTATTGCACACAACTTGATGAAAAAGTCAATACTTGATTTTGCATATACTTAACTTAGCAGAACTCTTTTGCAGTGGAGGTAGGAAACGCCTGTTGGATTGGGGCAAATGTGCTATTGAATACAATGCAAGATCGATCATCGTGGAATTTATAAGAAAGAAATCCTGGTGAAATATCTTGCTAAACATATGCTGAACCAGCTTAATAAATCTGAGAGAGGAGCTAATGCTCAAATGTTACATTTTTAGCGATACTTTTCACTAAGTGGACTCTTCTCATGAAATTCTCATTGAAAATCGTTACTTTTTATAGTTCATAAAATACTTTAAACTTTCCTTATTTGACAAAATAGCTACTATTTCGAGTTCAATCCTTGGCAATACATTGTACTTTCTGCATACTCATCACTGCTTATTGTTCAAATCATTTGATTGTCACTGCTGTAAACAATGTTATGCCCCAGAAATCTTGCGAGATTTAGAGCTTCCTCGACTCCCCCACAAAAGAGCAGTACAGTAAGTAAGATAACTGCCAGGTACTCGTGATTCTATGTATTGTTCTGTTAGTTCAATATTCGATATTGGTATACCGACCTTACAAATTTATTACCAGTCTTACAGAAAACAGAAAACTGTTATAATTAATGTACAATGTGGAAACCTAATTTCCCCAACCAAAATATTGCCTAACTTAACCCAAATATTAATCTATTGTGATGGTTTGAAGTGTATTTATTATGTGTGTATATATTCATTTATCTGTATGTGACATATTTCATTCATATTTCCCCTATTTGTCTTAACTTGTTATATGGAGTTATTCCCCTTTGTTTATAACCCGTCCGGATTAGGCACGTCCAGGTCTATAGTACCCGGCCGGGATTTATTGTTGTCATATTATACATGCATTTGTGTATAATCAGCAGCAGTCGATATTATTATTGATTATTGATTAGACATATTTCGGGGCTAAATTTCTATCTACAATAATGGTAATTATCACACTCTTGGATCGTAGGTGATATTGTTTCATATGTTTACGTTTGATTTACATGATTGTTATTTTAACAGAATATAGAATCTAATTCTTCAGTCTTTAAACACTGAAATTCTTGTTTTCTTTCATCCTTCCGAACTCGGATTATGTACGGGACTGACCCCTAGACAGTCATGTTACACTATAAAAGCAATATAAACAGACAAACAAGAAAATGATTCCAGTATATGAAGAGTGTAGCTAGCAAAGTTAGCTGTCTCCCTCCCCGATGATCTGATAGCTAGCTGCATAGCTTTATATGGAAATGAGAACAAAAGGAACTGCCAAAGAACTTACTGGACAAAAGTGGGCGTTTCCACATATAAGATAAATGATTTACATCGGGATCGAAATGAAAAGATTAAAGAAAACGTAAATAAACTACATCTGCCACAATACATGTCAAATATCTGATTGAAAAGATTAGGATACAAAAATTAAATACATTGCACCCGGCCTGCTTTAAAAAGAATCATATCATATGATATGCAATTATAATGAACTTTGCAGAACTTAATTCAAAAATTGTTCGTATATAAACAAACACACCAAACATGCTAAACAGCTGAAATAAGAAACCTAGGCAATTCGGAAAGTCTTATCTGTCGTAATAACAGATATAAAACATTCGACAAGAAATTGCGCAGATGTAGTGTGTCTTTAGAAAGACTTCAAGTCTGCAGAACATAATTACAAATTCATTTCAAGGAATCAAACAAGGATGCGATTTTTTCTTGCCCAAAATTTATGCCTTACCTGAGTAAGCTGTTTACATCGGATGTGTATAATGCCCCTATAGTACAATGTCCTGACTGATTATAATAAAGAGTTTTTAGGTGCACAAACAATATCATTTTTATTGGAAATAATAATAAAATTATTATTTTCTATAAGAATCATGGCGAAATGCAAAATAAAATATATAAAATTTTTATTGGACATAATAAAAATGACAGGAGTACATGTATAATGTCCTGATTTGGGGTATAATGACCTGATTTGATATGTCCTTCATAACAATTTAAATTGGTATTTATATTTATATTCTGTTTTTTTTTTGTTTTTTTTTTTTCATAAGATTTTTTAAGATTGAAATTAATGTGTTCACATAAAAATTGGGATAAATATAAATTTATTCTTGGGAATTTCATTTTTCATCTTTTTGTACTGGATGTCAGTAGAGATATATAAGGCTCACAATTTGGAGAAAATGACAAATAAGGCTGGTTTGACAGTGAAAATGTGATAAATGTTTATCATTAATAAATTTTGTACAAGATGTTTTCATCCATATTATCTTTTTTGAATGAAAATTTTTATTCCTAACACATGACCTTAGAGAGACCATGCAATGTGATTTTTTAAGGAATGCTGTAAAATGATAATAATTAAGAAAAAATGTGGAAAACATAATTGTCACTTAATGAATTGAACTGTCATATCAGTAATGTGGTAGCTTTTTTAATCAATGGATGCTTCACCCTGAGTTTCTTTTATATATATAAACAATTATGAAAACAATAACTTAATATTCAATTATTTTGCTCTTTAACACTAGATAATAAGTGCATTTTGAGTAACATTGAGGTAGGTCATTATTGTATTAAGTAAATTCCTTTTGCTATATGTCTAATGCCCTGTTCACACAGAGAGTTTAATTCACAGTAAATTAATGCGAAGTGAAATAATGTGAATTAAAATAATGCGAATAAGAATGCATTCGGATAACAGCAAAAGCGAAGTAAGCTGATGCGAATTAAAATTTTGTTTCTAGGCTACGATAGCTTTTCAGTAAGGCTATTATGACATCATTTGTAAATCATGTCATGTATGCAGAGCAGATCATTTGACATAACATATATAATCATAGTGACTGTATACATTTAAGTGATTTACATTTGTTTCCTTTTTTTTCAACCAAAAATAGCACAGATACATAAATCTAACCACCGACATGTGGCCTGTGACTTAATTCTGGCCTGCGCATGCGTCAAAATTTAATTCGAATTAGCTTCGCTTAGCCTTCACATGGAGCTAATGCAATGTAATTTAATGCGCAGTAAATTAATTCGAATTAAACTTATTCACACTAAATTCTCCATGTGAATGCGCTTCAAATTTAATTCGCAGTAACTTGCGTTTAGTTCAAATCAAACTCTCCTTGTGAACAGGGCATCATTATATGCCCTGTTCACATGGAGAGTTTAATTCAAATTAAACATAAGTTAATTTACTGCACATTAAATTACTTCGCATTAGCTCTGCGTGAACGCTTCAAGCTAATCTAATTCGAATTAAATTTTGATGCATGTGTTTGTTTGTTTAACGTTCCTCTTGAGAATTTTTCACTCATATTGAGACACCGCGTGGTGCAGTGGTTAGAGCGTCTGCTCTAGAGTCGCGAAGTAAGGAGTTGATCCTTACATTGTGGGTTTGAATCCCACTGTGGGACGTGGAGACCGGTCCTTCGGATGAGACTGTATAGACTGAGGTCCCGTGTCGCAGTAGGTGCTGGCACGAAAAAGATCCCTCACTGCTCAATGGCCGTAAGTGCCAAGTATAGGACAAAATTTGCAGCTCCCCACCGGCAAGTGGCGGCGTCTCCATATGAGTGAAAAATTCTTGAGAGGGATGTTAAACAACATACAAACAAACAAACATATGGAGACACCACCACTTGCTGGTGGAGAGCTGCAAATTTTGTAATATACTCGATACTT